TCCAAAGAAAAGCATTTTATTTGTCACGAAACTGATCACTGAGGTAGAATCGGCTGAGATTTACTAGTTACGTTTCAGCTACGATTTCAGCAGCCTTGATCACGGAAATGACGTAATAGTGTAGCGTCGTCTTCCATTATGCCCCGGTCATCTCTCTTCCTGTCATTAGCTTTTCGCTGTTACCCCTCCGGATATTTGAGAATTACGCTGTAGTACGTGGTCGTAGATGTGACGCTGTTCGTGTCCACCTTGATCTGTGTTGATATTGTTTTCAGTCTTTATAATCCAAACCGATTCTTTCATTTTTCTTAATAAATAGTGTCCCTTTAATCTTTTTTTATGATGACGTAGTCCCTTTATCAAGTATTTTGGTGTCATCAAACCGGGAAATGTGATTCGTCATAACAACATGATCAGTGATGACTGACTGGTGCAGGAAGTGAGATTGTGAGTCTACAAGCACTCCTGGTCCTGTAGTATTTTTTTTACATCGATTTTATGTTCTGTAATTCTGGTTTGTAATGGTCTTCCAGTCTTCTACGTAAACTTTCTTAGAATTGTGGCAACCCACTCGATAAGCGACACGACACTTTTCTTTGACCTTAGGGTGATTTAGGCTTTCTCTGAGCTTGCTTTTTGAAATTGTACAAATTTGTCTTGTGTTCTTTTAGGGTTTTTCTTAATCTATCACTCATCACATATGGTATTCTCACACTGGCTTTAGAGATTTCCTTGTCTGTTTTCTTTTCTTTGCCTTTAACATTACGTCATTCACGAGATCAAAGCTACGAAAACCGTAGCTAAAACGTAGCAAGTAAGTCTACTAAATTTTATTGGTTTATCAAGATATAACCTTCCAAATTAATATCACATGAAACAAAATGAAATTCTTTGAGAACTTAAAAACCTATTGTGGCATTACGTGTTAACGGTTCAGCACAGATGTACATATCAATACAATCTACGTGTGGGCAACACTTCTGTACTCCTTCGCAGTCTGTATCAAAGAGACACTGTGACTGTAGTAACGCCTCTAGCTCACAGTCGACTCCAACCTTTGATGACGCTGGTGGCTTACCGCAAAATCCATCCCTTAGCATCGCTGGAAATAATATTAAAAAACAAAATGATACAGTCTTTTAATTATTATATTATTTGCTGTGAGAAAAGTTAGAACCAAAATATATAGTTTGATTACAAAGCGATATGATGATGATGACGATGATGACGTTACCGATGGTGATGATGATTTATATTTTACACAATTAATCATGATAATGAAAATAATGATGATAATAATTTATTTATCATTTATTTATTTGAACTATATTTATAGTGGGCGCCTCTTGCAGCAAAGGTGATATACAGAGGCCCATGAACTTAAAATAATTATGAAATTATAATGATGATGATGATTATGATGATGACGATGGTTGGTGATGATTATGGTAGTAACTATGATGATGGTAGTGGTGGTGGTGGTGGTATAAGTAATGATAGTGACAGTGGTAATAGTCTCTCTCTTCATAAACGATGATGATGATGATGATGATGATGATGATGATGATGATGATGATGATGATGATGATGATGATGATTATGATGATTATGATGATGAGGATGAAGATGGAGGTAGTGGTAATATTGATAATGTTATGTCGAATAATGGTGATGATAGCGATGATATCGATAACACGATGATAATGATAATAATGACGATGTTGATTGTGATAAAGCAATGATGACGGCATGAATAATTATATGATGACTATGGAAAAGCCTAATTTTGATTATTGTATAAGATAGTAAAATAAAAATGTTATTATCTTTTTACATTAAAAATAAATGCAGAATGTGCTTCAGCGATGGATGTAATATGAAGTAAAAATAATTATTTTTGTCTAATAGGCCTACCTGTGAAACGCCGCCGTCGCCTATGTGCATTTGTAGCAGGTGCTGTCTGGCAAACCTGAACTACAAACATCAATAACAGCAACTCATAGCACAGTCTACCCTTTGCCGCCATCTTCCCTATATCAAATTAACAAAATTAAAGTAACCCAATAAAACTATGATGATTCCCAACTTACACAACGATGGTCTATCTATTGGCGAAGTGTAGTTTATCCTCCACAGTTGTCTTGTATCCTAGTTTATTGTAACTGAAACTAACGTCCTGAGGTCTGTTAGGAGCGATATTATACCACACATAACCACACCTACACACACCATCCCATACTACTCGATATTAATGATATTAATTAACTCAGAAGACATTATTCAAAATTAATGTAATATATTGCAGGCGTATTATTTTTGTAAGAATTATTATTATTATTAACAATTCTCAAAATAAAACTTACGATTTCCTGTTTTTAAATTTCAAATCTGGACATTCATTTTGCGTGCGTGGTTAATATACGTCGACGAACTCAGACAAGTTAATCAATCGTTCGAAAACAGCGAAGTTACAAACGAGATAATATTATGGTGTAAAAACACCAATAATCAATATTGGTTCCTTTGTTTATGATTTATTGCAGAGTTGATTCATCCGATTACTGTAGCTTTGCAATCATTCATGCATTGAGCTTTTACAGAAATAATTAAATACCGCCCTCATACTTAATTAGCTACTTAAGTTTGATAAAGGAGCAGTCATATTTACTGGTGGGATTTATGGGGAAATGGAATCGCCTGTACGAAGCACGAGCTCCTGTAGATCAAGCCCAGTAGGCCTACCGCTTCGATTTTAATCGTGCGAGAAACTCATTTTACAAACCCCTGTTTTAAAAATCATAGTTTCAAAGTTGCATAACCTTACAATTACAATAATAATTATAGGTCAATTGTAACATGTTTTTGAAAGAGCAACAAGATAGCAATAGCTACGATTGGTTGTAAGAGTCTACTGTGCAGTCTATCACAGTGACTGGATTAGATTGGATTTATTCGGTGTCAACACCAAGGATAGCACACGAAAGTCTAGAAGAAGACTTATTTCCAGTGGGGTCCTTCTGGTGGTGATTGGGAAGTCCACTGGGAGACAATCCTCTACTCTTTTTCGAAGAGTGTACTGCGTTCTTTAACGTGCACATGAGCCATCGATGCACACTGGACCAACGGCTTAAACATCTCATCCGAAAGACGGTGGCTATTATAACTTCTCAGCCCTCCAGCCCTCCATACAAGGAGAGACAGCGATGGGAATTGAACTGGGGACCTACAGATCTCCTCGGTTCAGCACACAAACAGTGGCTACCACCAGATTAGCCGAATGAGCTAAACTGCTCTCTCCGACAGATTATATTTTTCACAAAATTAGCAGATGCCTACGAAAATGTGGGACAATCATTTTAAAATCCCCAAGGGGTCTTAAATTGGAGGACGAAATGTATTCTGTAACAAACGTGGCAAAGGGTGCGTGGTAATGCACGCCCATCCCACCCCCTCCCACATTAAAAATTGGGGTGGGGAAGTGTCAGGGTGTGGTCTAAAATGAGAGGATTAGCTTTGTGTTAAAAGATTAAGTTTAGTCTCAAATTATAGAGGCCTTGGAATTTGAGGTTGAACTTTTCAACAGGTACATTTCATTTTTTCCCCTCAAAAACCTCTTCTCAACAGTAAACTTTCGGGTGGGGGTTATTCCAATAAATATGAATTATGTACAAACAAAAATGAAAAAAAAAATCTACTGTATGCTTCTCATTCTTTCAACATTTATTGGCTTTTTCTGTCTTCTTATTTCTTCTATTTAAAAGGTAAACATTTATGTTGAAAATCAATAATTATAAATAATAAATTTATTCTATAAAAACAATTTTTCTAAAATACAAATATTATTAAGATTTATTATTTTTATAGAGATTTTTTTTTTTTATTAATGACTTCACAAAACATTAAAGAAAGTAAGCACGGATAGGCTCACAAATTATATACTACCAAAATTGAAAAAAAGTTCTACCAAATCAAAATTACCAAATTACAGAATGATCAGATGAAAAAATATGCATTAAAACTGAGAAATATAGTTGATTGGCAAAACCCTGCAATAACCCTGCAATAACCCTACAATAACCCTGCAATAACCCTGCAATAACCGTCGAACGCTTTTGGGGGTTAACTTTCCATGTTGATGTATTACTGCTGAAATCTTTAAAGTATTGGGAAATAGTAATAAATATAAAAATAAACTACTACTAGGCTATTAGGCCTAGGCTCTAGCTAGAGGGACCTGCATACTGAGTAGGCCAGTAGAGCACACTTTGGTTCAAATTTGTGCAGTTTGCAATATGTTTATATTTACATGAAAATTCTTTAAATCTTACTTTTAGGTATTCTCAAAGTAAAAATGGATCAAGATTATATTATTTGTTTTTCCGTGTTCTATATTTTTTATTTTATTTATTTATTTATTTTTTAGGATAAAAAGTTAAAAGCTGTTATTAGGTTTCAATATCTGGGCCTTTTTTTCTTTGTTATTTAAAATTCTGAGCGATATGGTTTGGTGGTAAAAAAATCAGAAGGTATAATATCTGTTGTTATTAAATCCCTTTGTAGAGGGAGCTTATATGTACCAAAAATCCTGTATTCTGTAAGTGGTTTTTTTTCTTGTCCATGTAAATTGTGTTTTAAGTTTTGTCATTTTCTCAAATATCGGTAAGTTTGTGTTTGTTCATGCGATTTGTTGTCGCGTCAGGTCTGTGTGAGTTAAACGCAGACGCGATGGTTTGCGTCGGGGGCAGTCGCGTCGTAGAATATTAAACATGTTTAATATTTCTCACGATGGTTTAACACTGTCCTAGACGATAAATCGCGTCGGGTTGCGTCGTACGACGCTGTCTAAGTTGGCCTTAACGTCACACAGTGGCGTAATAGGTTCCCAGGAACTCTGGTTCGAAAATACAGTAGGGGAACTTGCATATAAATTGGCTGAGACCGATCAGGCAAACAAAGCTTCATTCAGTTAACAAAATTACTTCTTATCATAATAAAGTAATTCATAGTAAAACCCCCTCCAAACACCATCCATATAAAATTCTGAGTCTAGAATTCTGGGACAGAAATATGTTATTAATGAAAGCGATTTTTTGCAATGTATTAAGTAATAAATAGTACCCTGTCTGATACCATTCTGGTATTTCTGCTGGGCTGAAATATTGATTACTAAAGTATTATTACAGATACAAATATAGTTACTTTATTATCATAGAAATATATAGTGCAATATATAGTTTATATGGTAATTGTACTAAATTAATCTATATTTATTCAGCCTTGAGCAATACTGCAGTGGACTTGTGAGCTTTATAAATCTTATTATTATTATTATTATTATTATTATTATTATTATTATTATTATTATTATTATTATTGTTATTATTATTATTGTTATTATTATTATTATTATTATTATTATTATTATTATTATTATTATTATTATTATTATTATTATTATTATTATTATTATTAAAATGTTTGCTCCCACCGGACACTATCCCAGTTCTGAATCTAAGTTTCTTGGCCTGAATATAGGATTATGGAAGTAACAGTGCCTGTATAGGCCTAAAAAGCATGCCTTTGTGCTTTGTTATTAGCAACATGTTCCCTATAGGAGACTTGGTCGTCGGCGGAGAGTGGGGTGGGTAATGTCTATAGGGGACCCTCCCATAAGAAGATTTTGAGAGAGAAATAATAAAGGCATGTTCTGTACATAGGCCTAATGGTAAGAATTGGGCCCACAGATAACTGGACAGAGAAGGTAGTAGCATGACTCAAGAATGACCAAATCACAATTTGTAGGCCTATTTTAAATCATGTGAATGAAACAAATGTATATCTATTGCGAAAATGATAAATAGTTCAAAATTTTATTTCTTATTATTGTCATAAGTAGATGAATTGTATACCTCCATATATAAGAAAAGTGCAAGAAGCATGAATACATATATTATACAATAATTAACAATGACTATAGACCTATTTAAATAAAGTGCAAGTATGGTGAAATATTAATAACACGCCATAAGTAGATGACTGAGTTGCTTATTCCTCTATGAATAAGTAAAGTGCAAGAAACACGAATGACAATAAACAACAATTTGCAATATGCTATGCAGTATACTAGGAAACATGCCTACACATTAATAAATACACTTGTGATAACATACGTGTGGTGCACTTTTAATTACACTTACTTGCCGAATTTGCATAAATAAATTTATGACGATAGTATACATACTCCAAGTATCGAAATGTACGCCATAGTGTTGGGATTCAATATTTCGACATAATTAATGTCGAATATTGAATCCCAACACGATGGTGTGCATTTCGGTCCATGCTTGGAGTATGCATATACTATCTTATTTGAGATTAATCAGTGAACATTTCGTTTATTTATGACGCTCTAGATGAATTGCGCTATAGACTGAACCGCCTGAACAGTCGATAGTTACCGTACGCCACTGCATGCCAGTTGGCAGTTGTAGAGCCGTTACCTTTCCCCTTCAAGGGGCAGACAAAACAGTTAAGGTTAGTTGGGATATTGAAATTAATACCTACCACCACATCAATGGGCCCGATGTGAACAATTTATGAAAATACATCTGTAGATGACCAGTAATAGCAGTCGGTAACCTGCAAAGCAGCTACCCATATTCAACGCCCATGCAGGAGCAGATTCAAAATTTAAAGCTAATGGTAGTGGACTAATGTAGATAATATACCCGCCCCAAAAATGTATACTATAAATAGTTATGGTTATATGTATATCTCTAAAGATTTTTAAAATCAATCTTAATTACTAAAGTTAAGGATTGTCAAAAGAGTTGAAAGAGTTGTACATGGGCAATACAAAAACAAGAAAATGGTGGATATTTGTTTAAATACCGTATACAACATTAAAAAGTCAATTTAAAGCTAACATTAATACTAACTTCAGGTATCAGAGTATATTTATTTTTAAAAGTAATACAATTGGGAAAAAAAGTCGTCCGGCCAAAGCCGGTGCGGCCGGTGTGGTTCCGATGGCCCTGCGTCAGTGGTGGGGATATTTGCCTTTGGGGTTTATACTGTTTGTCTGATTTGTTGTATTGTAATATACATACCATCTCCGCCCATAATTAACGTGTACTCATTTTTACCGCTGCAAAGGATATTAATTTTATTTTCTAGTTTCTTAAAAATAATGACATTTCTTTGTAATAATTTGGGGTGTAAACGTTGGTGTGTGTGTGGGTGGGGTGTGTGGGTAGGTGTGGTATTTTTGTGTGCAACATATATCAAAAACGGCTGCACTGACATAAATGAAAATAAGAGGGAGTATTAGGCATAACCCAGTAAAGAAATGATTACACTTTAGTGACGGTCCGTAGTAGATTGTGGGTGTATTCTATTTGTGTCCTTAATATAAAGCGCCTTTGTACATGAGTACTCATGAAAAGGGCGCTATAGAAATTTGGTAAATAAAATAAATAAAAATAAGAAAAAAACGATCGC